AGACGGACTAGGAAGAAAGGTCTGTCGATCTGCTTCCGACAATCAGTCAGTGAAAACACTATGGATCACAGAAGTCCGATCTGCAGCCCATCATGATGGCACAGGATCAGGCAGCGGTTTGTTTCACGGAGCATAGCTTTGCGGGAGGAGGGGGGACGACTCCACAGCAGCTGACAACAGCAACGACGTACTGTTGGAATATACAGTTTTCATTTGTATGGATATGCATCGCTGAAGATCTGTTAGTTGAACAAAGCGGGATGCTATCGTGCGCATTTTTACTTTACCACTTTATTAAGGCATAACGATTGAAAGTATATTACTTGAGTTTTTAAATTTTTACTGTGGTAAAATATATATAACATAGAATTGACCATTTTAACCATTTTTAAGTGTACATTTCAGTGGCATTCATTACAGTCACCATGTTATGCAACCATCACCACTATTTCCAACACTTTTTCACCAGCCCGAACAGTAACTTTGTACCCATTAAGCAATAACCGCCCACTTCCACCTCCCCCTGCCCCTAGCAATCGCTAATCTACTTTCTGTCTGTACAGAGTTGTCTATTCTGGATGTTTTATATTCAGTGGAATCATACTATATGTGATCTATTGTGACTGGCTTCTTTCACTTAGCACAATGCTTTCAAGGTTTATCCATGTTATAGAATGTATCAATATTTCATTCCTTTTTGTGGCTGAATAATATGCCATTATATGCTTATACCACATTTTGTTTATGCACTCATCCGTTGATGGACATTTGGGTTGTTTTCACTTTTTGACTATTACAAATGTTCATGTACAAATTTTTGTGTGGATATGTTTTCATTTCTTTTTGATCTATACATAGGGGTTTCAGAACTGCTGAATACATTGATGTATTTTCAATTGCCTTATATGCATGCGAAAGCTGGACAATGAAAAAGGAAGACAGAAAAAAGAAGTGACACATTTGAATTGTGGTGTTGGTGAAGAATATTGAATATACCATTATCAGAGAATTCACTGTATATGATTTCAATCCTTTTATTGACACTTTTATGACCCAGCGGATGGTCTGTGTTGATGACCATTTACACCTGGGAAAAACGTGCATCCTGCAGTTGTAGTGTTCTATAAATGACAGCTAGATTAAGGTGGCTGATGTTAAAATCTTTTGTCCTGATTTTTGTCTAGTTGTATCAATTGCTGAGAAGGGTGTTAAAATCTACTATGAAGGCAAAATTGTCTTTCTCTACTTAATTCTGTGTATTTTTTACTCATATATTTTAAGGCTTTATCTTCCTAGATTTTCCCTTTTATCATTATTAAGTGTCCCTCTATCTCTAGTAATACATTGCCTTGAAGTCTATGATACCTGCCATATATGGCCACTCCAGTCTCTGATGCTAATTTGCATGGTTTCTCTCTTAAATTTCAACTCATCTGTGTCTCTCAAGTGTTTCTTGTAGGCAACATATACTAAATGGTCTCTTTTTTTCCCACTGCCAATCTTTTAATGGAATGTTAATGTGTCAATAATAATTATGGATATGGCTGGAATTTGCTACACCATTTACTGTTTTATTAGTCTTGTTTGTACTATCTTTTTTGTTCTTGCTAATTCTCTCCTTTTCAGGTCACTTCTCCAGGTTTTATTTCCCTCATCTGCTTCTTGTTTTTCCTATGTTATCCAGTTTCTAGTTGTAAGCAGGGGGAGGGATAGGTTGTAGGGGCTGAAGCTCCTTACACTTCCATGCATGCGTATGTGGTCTCCTGGATATTCTTGCCTATGTGTAGACTGCTCTGTCTAAGTGTACGCAAGAAACTGGTAGTCGTGGGTATTCGGAGGGAGGGAAACTGTTGGGACTAAGAAGAAAAACTTACTTTTCAATACAGACCCTTCTGCACTTTGACTATCTGTATGTGAATATTTTCAAAAAAAGGCATTAGCAATGGACAAACAGTCCATCCGCGATGGATTAAGCACTAGGCAGTTTAGAGGGCAGATGCAGTAAACTGTAGAGGCTTTAGCTCAACCACTTACCAAGGTAAACCTACTGACAGCCACAGGATTCTACCATCTGATGCGTTGAATCCCCAGTGAAAGTATCTTGTAGATAACCAAATGTCTTCAACTATTTTAGGGCTGCCTCCTAGCCCATCACCTTCTTTCACATGGGCACTTTCTCCTGTAGGATATAGCAGCGTAGTTCATGTCTTCCTTCTCCTTGAAGGTCTGCATATAGTTACTAATTCTGACAGGGAAATAGCTGGGACATAGATGAGGCAATTCTAAGGTTTCCCAGTTCTAGCGGCTGCAATTCCTACAACCATACAGAATGCTGGGTGGCACTTCTGGGATGAGATCAAATTGTGGAATGGTCTTTTTGGTGACTGCATAGTAGAAAGCCTGTGAAAGAAAACCCTTATCAGTTGTGCCTTTTGCTGGAGAGCTGCAGTGTCCACTAACCCTGAGTGGCTACCGAGCACCTGAAATAGGGCTAGTCCAAACCGACATCTAAGTACACTGGATTTTGAAGACTTAGTATGAAAAAGGAATATGCAGTTATCTCAGTAAAAAATTTTAATATTGATTACATATTGAAATGATAGTATTTTGGATATATTGTTAAAGTGTATTAAAAGTAATTTCACTGGTTTTTTACTTTTTTAAGGTGGATACTAGAACATTTAAAATTACATACGTAGCTCACAAGCCATGGTGTTTTCAATCGTCTCATAAGCATGTGAAAGCTGGGCAATGAATAAGGAAGACCGAATGCCTTTGAATTATGGTGCTGGCAAAGAATATTGAATATGCCATGGACTGCCAGAAGAACAAATCAATCTGTCTTGGAAGAAGTACAGCCAGAATGCTTCTTAGAAGGAAGGATGGCGAGACTTTGTCTCATACTTTGGACATGTTATCAGGAGGGACCAGTTCCTGGAGAAGGACATCATGCTTGGTAGAGGGTCAGTGAAAAAGAGGAAGACTCTCAACAAGATGGACTGATATACTGGCTGCAACAATGGGCTCAAGCATAACAATGATTGTGAGGATGGTGCAGGACCGGGCAGTGTTTCATTCTGTTGTACACAGGGTCGCTATGAGTCAGAACCAACTCAACAGCTCCTAACAACAACAAAAGCTCACAATGTATTTCCTTGGGAAAGCCCTGCTACAGTATTCTCAACAAAAACCAGTAACAACTCAGTGTTCAAGCATTTTATTAAGTCAGATAAGGAATCTCCACACTGTTGCACATATCAGCCTGTGTACAATTTGAAGGGCGTATCACTTGTTTACAAAGAAATAGCCGAGTAGTAGGCTGGAAAGTCTAATAAGCCATCTTTAGCCAGCTAAAAGTTCTAGAACATTCAAAGAACAAACACTGGACAATGAAGGTCACACAAGTCCTAGAACAGTGAACAATGACAGAGCTCACTCAATTTATCCTTTACCTTCAAAATGCACATAACATCTCTCGCCAGAAAAACTAGCAGGTTATCACTAGACGGATACACACATTTCATTCGGGTACATTAAGCTTCTTGCTACTTACTGGCTTCTTTGATTAGAAATAACTCAACCCTAACCACAGAAAAGTGGTTTTGGAGGAAATGTACTGCTGTAAAATATACGCCCGTTATTCTTTGTATGCTTTCAAGTCACTGAGATTTGTTAACTGTGGACGCAGAAACCCAGGACTCCCAGCTCTGACCTTTTCACTTAGCTACACTCAACAGCAGGCCAAGAAAAAACAATGAAGGTTAAATAGATTGTGAGCAGTGAAGCAATTCAGTGAGGCTGTAATAATCTAGAATCTGTTTTAACTTGGGTAAGTGACTCTAAGTTTAAGAACCTTAAGAGACCCTGTGGACCTTTTCTTAGGTGGCAGTTTTGAACTGCCCTGTGATGAACAGCTGACTATCAGGTTTATGCACCATGATGGATAACTAGAAAATAGTCTTTACTCATGTAGCCTCAAACTTATTTCTTCATGTCTACATTTAACTTATGACCACCATGTACTAATGGGTAGGTAGACATGATCAAAGACCCTTTTGTAAGCTTTGCCACCCCTCACAGTCTTCACTGCCTTCCCCCCCACCCCCCATCTCCTAGACAAGTTCCCACTGCCTTAGGCCAAAGGGTCAATTCTGTAGTCAAACTTGTTTGAACTAAGCTTACAGGAGATACATGCAAATAAGGGGAAAAATTAAATTCATTTGCCAACAGTGAAACATTATAAATGTAAGCTACTATGCCACTATACAGAAGACCCAGAGAAACCACAAATACAACAAAATACCATTAGGTTTAAACAAACAAACAAAACAAATCTTGAAGGAAGTGATTTTATTCTACAGCGGTTTGAATTTACCCACCAACTGCTTAATGATCGATCACAAAATATTTCTGCAACTAAAATTAAAAGAGAATTAAAGGGAGCTGGGAATACATGTTAGATACTAACTATCTTCAAGCTTTGAAGATGTCATTGCATGAAGAAAATTATGGGAAACACTGTTCCCGATAATTACGTACACCCTTAGTGTAACATATGGAGAACACTGTCTCCGATATAGACACTGTGGTAGGCAAAAACTACCTTGTTCTGTATACATTATGGAAGACACTGCTCCCGATAATGTGAGTTAGGTTTGTGACAAAGGTACTGGAAATTTTGCAAAATGGGAATTAAAGTTACACCTTAGATAAACTGAGCATAAAATTTTACACGTAAGAGTAGTACCACAGCCTTGAAGTGATGTTCATTTACAACTTAGACTCAATTCATTGCATTTATAACGATCGGTTTTATTTGGTCAGCTAAATAGAAGTCTAACTTGATCAGCAACCCTGTTTAATTCTTCCCCGATGTCTAGCTTTATGGGTATGAGATTCCCCAATATTTTATCTGGCTTGCGGCTGTTTCCTAAAATCCTCAAGTGTTGACCATAAATGCAAAACTTCCAGTATCTGTTGGGTTTTATTAGCAGATGCTGCTTTTATTAAAAAAAAAAACCGACAGTATAACTGTCATAATTATGGAAGGCACTGCTTCCGATAATTATCTTCTATTTAAAAAAAAACACCATTTATAGTGAACTCTGTCACTGATAAATAAACAATAAATATCTCAGTGCCAAAATGATAGCAAGCTTTTCCACAAGATTAACACTCTGGCCAAAAACTGGCAGTGTGTTCTTTAAAGCCTGACAAACTGAGTCTGAAATCAAACACCTAAAACTGGTTCTCTTTCAAAATACTTGGGAAAACACAACAACTAAAAAGCTTATGGGGCTGGGGCAGATGAAAAGAAAATATACTAAGTTTTTGGCTTCTGGACTCTTTTCATAACCTTGACAGTAACACATTAAGGCCTTCCTCCTGTGATAAACAGCTGAACCTTGTTTTATTCAGCTGAAGAACCTCTATTTCAGACCTTGCTGGCAAGAAAAGAAGTCCCATTTCTTCTGATGGTTAACTGTTTCATACAGGGATGTGGAAACCAGTTAAATCCTTACAGAAAGACATCTATCTCGTTTGGAGACTAAGGTCTTACAACCTAGTATCTCCTATCTAGCATCCAGTGAAGATGGAGAACCACAGCAAGATACCACTTGGAACCTTCAGCAGTGACCACTTCCCTCCTCCCATCTCAAAAGACACTAGCTCCCGTCCTTAAGATGTAGAGCAGTGGTTCACACAACTGGTTCTCCCTTTTTCATAACTGTAACAGGAAAGAGGCAGTTACCAATACGAAGCTCTTAAAATTCTAGAAATAATCAAGAGAAAATATTCTATCATGAGTATCTTTAACGTGGTTATTCACTTTAACTCGAAGTGCACGTACCTACCCTGTATTAAAAGTTGCTGCCTAGAGATATCTAGTAGGACCAAGATGATTGGGTGGAATTTTAACATTAGTTTTGTAGGCCTACTAAAAATTTAGCACAACCAGCACAAGTCTAGAAACCAGACCGCCTTACTTTTCTTACATAAGTTATGGGTATTATATTCTAAAACTCATTGTCAATGTCCCAAATGTCCCCAGTAAGAGCATTTGCGGCACCCTGAAGAGTCCAAGTAGCTAGGGCCAACTGGTTTCTCAACAGCGTTTCGTTAAAAGCATCTCTGTTCTTCCGACGCAGCTCCAAGTTTTCCAGTAAAGCTGACAGAGTGTGAGGGCCAGAGCCCCAGAAGATATGTCGGAAAGGAGAATCCTTTGGAGATACATAGGGTGAGAGGAAGTGATACTCCACCTACGAAAACAAACACACAAGACCGCTTACACAGACTTTTGTTGTGAGGAAAAGACCTCACAGAGTAGGGCGACTCAATGTCACACTCTCACTTCACGGGAAGTTTCCCCACATTTAACAACGTTAAGAAACAGACTTCCGATTTTCGACGGTTGTGATTCTAAAGCAAACTGTCAATTCCTTGGGAAAAGTGGCCTTTAATTGTACTGAGATTTTTTTTTTTTTTGGTTGGAGCACATGGAAAGTTTTTAAGTTTCCACTGTAATAAAGTCTTCTGCTTCTTCCAAGCAAACTACGATAAAGCAGTTAAGGCCTCAATTAGACAACAGAAATATAGAGAAAATGATAGCTAAAAAAAAATTAATGGTCTCTTCTAAAAAACTGCATTTTTTAAAGGCTAAAAAAATTAAATACTAGGTCAAATGTTTTTTGTATTTCCGGCTTAGATACATTGGTTATAGGTCTTGCTAAGAGTTAAAATCCGTGCTGAATTCTAAAGCAGCAAAGTATTCTAGGTTCCTGGGGATATTCTACTTTTTAGAAGTACAAGATTTACCAATTTAAAATCAACATGCTTTAGTTTCCCCTTTTCTAAGAGTGCACCTACTTTCATGATACGATCATTCATTTCCCTCATGATAAATCTGTTCGCTTTCTCAGCATTCCTGAAATCTGTCGTCAGTCTGGAAGTAGCACGGAAAAAGTCCCCACGAGCAGAATACAGCCACTGTAGATTCAGACCCATCTCCTGAAGGAGAAAGACATGGAACTCACTATTAAAAGTTGCATTTCTAAGGATGTTGTTATTCTATACCTTTCCAATTCAGGTATGGCAACTGAGAAGATTCTGATAAAAGGCGGTGACTCACAACAAGCTCAAGACTCAGAGAAGGCTAGACGTCAGAATCTTTACAAGAGACTTCAAGCTCTGGATTCTTGAAATATAATACACCCATATTTGAGCCCAGAAGATAATTATCCATTCTTATCTTCAAAAGAAAACCATCCTTATCAAGAAATTTAACGTAATGTACTTAGTAAACGTATATAATCCTGTATTACAAAAAAACCTATTGCCGACCCATAGTGATCCTAGAGGACAGAGTAGAACCGCCCCATAGGGTTTCCAAGGAGCAGCTGGTGGATTTGAACTGGCAACCTTTTGGTTTACAGCTGCTCTCTTAAACACTGCGCCACCAGGGCTCCATAATCCTGTATTAGTACATTGTTTTCAGTTCAATTCCTCCATGGGGAAAAACATCAAACATTTTAAGAAACTTCATAAGCTAGTTATTTCTCTGGTAAGTCCCATTCTGTGATCAGTTATAATTAGCTTCACATTTTGAAAAAGTCATGATAATTAAGATGTGATTATCAGTGATTTATTTCAATCAAGTGACCTGTTAAATCTACTCCTAGCGCCAAAAATGGAGCCCTGGTGCCACAGTGGTTAAGAGCTATGGCTGCTAACCAAAGGTTGGCAGTTTGAATCCCCCAGCCGCTCCTTGGAAACCCTAGGGGGCAGTTCTACTCTGTCTTATAGGGTCGCTATGAGTCGGAATTGACTTGACGGCAATGGGTTTAGTACATAAAAGTTGGAAACCATTCATTAGTATTAATTTCATCTTATTGAATGTTTGAATACTAGACACAGCAAGATTGTAACTCTATCCATGTCATGGCTGAGATCTTCATATTCTCTGGGTCCTACCCTCAATCCTAAAACTTCCACCTATTTATTTATGGGTTTCCTGGAATATCTGAACAATGATTAAAAAAAAAAAAACAACACAGCTAGCTCTTGGTTCTGAAATACTTGTCGTAGTCCACCCTAGATCTATAAACCATAGTCTCCCAACTTCGCTTTCAGAATGAGTTACGATTCCAAGCAAAATTATATCTCAGTTCACTTTAAAATGTACTTTGGCTACCAATCCTGTTCCTCCCAGAAACTGCTAAACATCATACTCGATACTTCAGCAATTAGAACATAGTTTTCATTAGTGCTCACCTTTATGTCCGCTCTAAATTGGGTCATATCCTTCACAAATGAAAGTATTTTGTCGTTATACCTCTCATAGTCCAAGTTCAGTTCAAGGTCAAGGGTAAGTCTAATCACAAGCTGACCAGCCACTTCTGCTGCTGTGCGTGCCATCCTGGTCAGCTGAGGGATTTTCTCCATCAGTGCCTCATAGGTGTCCTTTGGGGTGCCCAGATAAGGATAGTCGTTGTCCTGGAAAACAAAGCTAGGCTATTGTACTTACATGGGTTATAAGAGCAGAAGCCTCATGTTCACATTTAACCATCAAGATCAACACCAACTACAGTTCTTCTCTTACTTCTAATATACTCCTATCCCAGTTTATCTCACATCCACTACTTTAAGAAGACACCACTCTCGCTACTTCTCTTGAATCCAACCTGCCTCTAGAATGACTGCTTTCTTCTAGGTTCTGTTATATCACAGACTCCGAGCAGATTTCTCACGAAATTCCTTGAGGCTATATTCCTCCTTTTCTTCTCTCTGGGAAGTCTGGCCCATAGTAATGGGGAAAGAGAATATGCACTGAAATGTACCTTTGATATAAAGTGTTACTCTTAGACTAAAATTGACCTTCTTCCTAACCATGCAACACTCAGTCCCTTCACACACACCACCTTTCTACCAAGGATGTTTGATGCATACAAGAACTTTTTACCTTCATTTGATACCTTCAGTAACTATTTCTTACTCTCCAACTCTATTCCCTACCATTGTTCTTGGCAACGATCTTACCGACAAGTCTTTAGTCTGATCTCAATTCTTTACTTTCAGACCGTACGCTTCTCTATTACCTATAACTGAACCAGCATTGCCAGGCTTTTGACACCTTCAACTACATTTGAAGTTTTGAAAACATATGACTTCTGAAGGGCAACAGAAGTATTCAACAATTATTTCTTCAACCATAAGGCCTGACACCTAGTTCTTCCTAATGTACTAAATAAATATCATGACCAGCTATTTCAATATCATTCATACCGCTGCTCCAGCACAGGGCCAGTGGAATTCCAGCTATGTTAATCTCCCAGTCCAGACCTTTCCTCACTTCAGACTTTCCCCCTCCTAGTCCTCGGCTAAAATACCCAGTGATAAAAAGTCTAGTAGGGACCTGGCCTCTAATGGATGAACAGGGCCAAATTCAACAGCTTCCACCCAACTCTACCCCTACGCTAACTCTAGGTTCTCTTCACCCCGCAGGAGACGCCCCTACAGGGCCAGTTTTCCAACCCGAGCACTTCAGCACTGAGCCTTCATTGTTCTGTTTACTCTGCCTGGCTTTCTAATCGGCTCTTGTACCAACCAAGCCAATCTTGTTTTCCTACAACTTCGTCTGTTCAAAGTTCTGTAGCATGACAACCCTACATCTGTTTGGCCTTTGTGCCTACCCATAATCCCTGCTTAAAAGACTAACATCTAGAACCGTAATTCAACAAGTATCTAGAGCAGCACTGTTCAACAGAACTTTGTTATGATGGAAATATTCTACACCTACACTGTCTAGTAAGTAGGTAACCACTAGCTACTCTATCATTCAAGAAATTAAGCCTTGTTATTAAAACTTATCATACTTAATTGTAGAAGCTGTAGCAATAAACCCAGATGCTAATTAAGCTAATTGAGACTCCGTTCTATGTTAAGACTGGTAACAGGGAGGAGAATCAATACCTGCATGGGTATAACTTCTTACAACATTTTAAGCAATGTATGAAACTGGGTTTCCACGCTGATAAGAATGTCTGAGATATAATGCTTTAAGAGTTCTTCAGACTTACCTCACAAAAACAGAAAGAAACTGCTGGAATTCCAGAATATGCAAGGAAAGGGAAAGCAGCATTGTCGATAGAGAGTTTCTCACTGCAAGGAAAGCAGGAATGTGCCTTTAGAAACTTTTCTAAAGAACAGATGGTGCTACCATGCAACGCTCCCCTACCACCAAATAAATTCTTCAATTAAGCCTCTCGAGATATAGGTAAGTTCACTGCAATGTTCGCTTTAGGTATCTACCTAACAGAGTAGGTGCTTGTTCATGAAATTTTCTCAACTTACGCTTTGTTGGCCCAGTTGCTGTCTCGATATAGAGACAGCCCAGTAACTGGATGTCTTACCTGTAAAACAAGAAATCAATTTACCATTAAAACTAACCTTTCTGAAATTAGTGATTCAGGCTAGTCACTAACATGTTCCTCTGTAGAAACATATTTATAAAAAAATATTAAATTTTTACTATAATCTTGAAAAAAATTTAAGACAGAACAATATCAAATTTCTTAAGTTATTCCTATTAAGCCCTAGCTCTCAGTTCAACTGTGGTGAAAAAAAAGGTGTTTTCTTTCTCAACTGACATTTTAAAGTTGGCTTAACCACAACTGTAAAAGCCCCTTAGCCTTCATGATATGTTTGTGTCTGGTTTCCCCCCTCCAGCACATTTTCTACCACTGCCAGCCTTTTTTACACACACATTACTACCTTGTTTGGGACCCTGCAGTAATCTCTAGTTTCCCACGGTAACAAGGCCAAGGTCTACTTCTTTCCCTCCAAATTCAATCACTCCAATACATAGCCTCTAACGCAATTAGGCTAATCTTCTCTTCTACATGTTCCTCAAAGTCATTCACATGGTAGTCTTTACTCAATACATATTTTATCTGGCCTTCTTAGTTAAGGTATGCTGTTGTTAGGTGCCACTGGGTCGGTTCCAACTCATAGTGACCCTATATACTACAGAATGAAACACTGCCCGGTCCTGTGCCATGCTCACAATCATTGTTAGTCTTAGGTATATAGTTCAAGTCCATTTAAATCTTTCATAACATTCTGATTCTACAGGCAGCTCCCTGTAGGAACCTATAGTGCAGCTCAGGTATCACGGCATTTCGTTACATATTCCTATGCAAGACTACATATTCTTTGAGATCGGAGCCCTTCTTATACCACCTCCCTCACTACACATGGTTTAATGGGCTGGGGACCCAGTAAGTCATAAGCCCAACTTAAATACTGCTGTTAGAGAATTCATTCTAAACTCCTGTTATTGGTTACTTATAATGGTTTAAATATCAGTGTTTTTCATCTTATGTAACTCATAGACAAAAAAAATAAGTTATACGTTTTTATAACTAGATTTATACTTACATCTTGCATAGTTTTCTCAATAAGCAAATACAACAGTGGACTGGCAGAAACCTTGAAGTTTTTGGTACCTACAAAGAAATGATGTTAACATTGCCCTTTCTGCAGCCAGGTAACTTTCACATGGCTAATTCTACTACTGAAAGCACTTGATAAACAGGGAGACAATGATCCTAATGAAGTAGAAGAAAAAGTAATCTAGGAGTCAGTTTCTTCAGTAACTATGCTGATCGTAACTTGACTCAGCTGAAATGCTTACTATTTGAGTGTACATACTTTCATGCTGGTTTTATTTTTTCGTACCTTTTTGGTTCACCTAGGTTAGGGCAGTCATCTGCTAGTTACTGCAAGCTTGCTATATTCAACATATTCTGCTGCACAGGTAAGACAGGGAAATACTGACTGATCTGTTAAGGACTTAGTTTAACTGTAACTTCTTCCTTTTTCTTCCCAATGTAGACATTTCACTATTCTCAGCTCACCCACTGGCTACATCTGCACTGTTAATAACATTCAGACTCTTTCAGAAGTCTGATTATCCAGTATTTCTATCAGTGATGCCACAATCTAGCAGGATGTGGATTAGGCTCTAGAAATACCAGCGTATATTGTACGGTTTAGTCCTTTCTAGTCTAAGATAAGAGTCCAAATCAGTAGTTCTCAAACTTTAGCATGTCAGAATCACCCGGAGTACTTGTTAACACAGTTTGCCGGACCCAAGCTCCAAGTTCCGATTTCAGCGGTCTGGGGTGGGGCCTGAGAATCTGCATTTCTAGCAGTTCCCACGTGATCCTGATGCTGCTGGCCTGAGGGACCACACTGAGTACCACCACTCTAGACAGGGCACCCTGTGCTCACTCTAGAACTTGACGGACAATTTAAGAGAAAGCCAAATCAATCTTTTGATCTAATTCTGGCCAAGGTTAACTGTAAAAAAAATAACAAGTGCTGCTTTAGAAAGCTTTCTTCTGCTGTTTTGTAAGTAGTTTACCTGAATTCTTAAAGAGCTAATGAAAAGGACCCTTACCAAGAACAGCTTTATCCAGATTAATGTACGTGAACGCTTTCAAATGCAAGGTGGAAAGGTACCCCTAGAAGAGAAGGGGAAAAAATTAAGGCACTAATTCGTATTAATCTATTTATTCTACAGGGTAGCTATTATTAGGGATTCGTTTTTAAATGTGGATTTCTATCGAGGCTACATATACAAAGACAAAAAATGGTATAATCAAACCTAAGAGAGCATGGTTTCTGGAGGACAGCTTAAGTCAATACAAGTTCAAGTCCAGGTATAGATGATGTATAGATAATACCTCTAGCCATTCAGTGGCACCAACAGCTCCAAACTCTCCAGCACTCCAGCTGGCAAACACAATGCTTCTGCTGGGTTTAAACCCATCTGAAAGAACAGAAACTTAGTTTTACCTTGGGAAAGGTTATAGGCAGGCAACTGACTTAAGATGAACCAGAAACATCTAACTGAAAATAGCAGATTAAAAAATATTTCTTCTACTCCTGGAAATGGAATATGGGGCTAACTGCCCCCATTAACAACTGCCTCCTCTGCTATATGAGACCAGAAGAACTAGATGGTGCTGGGGTACCATTTCTGAATGTTTTGATCAAAGATTCTATAGAAGAATCCTCATCAAATAGGGGAAAAATGCAGAAAAGAATTTCAAATTCTCATGAACTGCAGACTTTCTGGAGCCATGGAGACTGGATGAACCCAGAAATTATTGCCCTGAGAAAAATTTTTAAATCTTAAAGCAGAAATATCTCCTTAAGTCTTCTTAACACCAAACAATAGTTTAGCTTCACTAGTAAAAAAACGTCTGCCTTGAGCTAAACTCTTTGGTCAACTATTTATATGGGATCAAACTGACCACAGCAACTCAAAAGATTAGACAGAAACCTTCGGGGCAGTTAGTTTATGTTAACGGGGAGGAACAACTCAGAAAAGGAAGGTGAGAATGGTTGTACAACTTGAAGAATGTAATCAATGTCATGTAGCATTGTACATGTAGAAACTGTTGAATTGGTGTATGTTTTGCTATGTGTATATTCTCAACAACAAAACTAATTAAAAAATGTTTTTCTTCTCTTCCTGAGGCCCGTGAAAGCACAATAAAAGGAACAGAAATTGGTTTTAAAAGAAACCTACAAAGTACAAAAGAAGGGATCGTCAACAAATTCAAGCACGTAAGAGTAGGGGACCAGCTTACTGGCAGACACTCTTCTACACCATTCTCTGAGCCCGTTAACTTCCAGACCAAGAGCTATTTGAACATCAAGAAATATTTGAAATCACAGCTTACGTATGGTGAGTGTCTTCTTTGGAAACAAACTGCTTAGGGGAAAGTCACTTGAAAAGCTGGAGTATTTTAAAAGCAATTATTATGAAATAAAGTAAAAATTTAGAAATTTAAGTAACAGCAGGTGTTTTCAGAGAGATTACATTCATAACAGCTCCTCTTGGGGCTACATGTGCCACTGCCCTCCGTCCCATCCCCTCCCTGGGTATGCGTTTTTCTTCATTAAGCTTCTTTTGCATAAAAGTTAAGCACTGCAACTTACCCAGTGACTCAAAAAGTCAAGAATGTGGTGGGGGTCTGCACGTATGGGTGGGCGGATGTGGAGAAGTGGCAAGTATCATGAGAGAAAGTCTTGAAAGTAAGCAGATCAAGTCTAATAGCTGTTAAACTGTAGCACATTAGTACAGAGGTATGCCACTGTTTTCTAATGGAGTCTTAGGGACCATGTTAGGTTTGCCATGTGACTCTGGGCATGTCAAACTAAGAATTAGGTCCCAATGTAACACTGCCCGATGTTTCAAGGAAATTAATGATTCCCAGTGCAATGAAGACGCTGCATGGAAAGCTGTTTCAAAGTCAGCTTTGTAAGGTAGCTACAACAAAAGACAATCTGCCTTGTAAGGGTGTAGCACTAATGAGAGAACTTAAGAATACAGGCAAAAGAGAGCAAAGCATATGATGATATCTAGAACTATTTGTACACACAGATGTTCAAGGCATCAAAACTTATACTCTACCTTTTAAGACCATATCTGAGAATATCCGCGCAAGTTCTAACAGAAGAGCTGTTCCTACGCTGGATTTTGCAGCTCCGGTACCCCAGGCATCCCTCTGGGCCCCTACTACAACATAGCGATCTTAAAAAAACAAAAAGATAAATTATACCATTAGCTTTTACACCGCTTTTCTAGTACTGAAGTCTAGAATAGTAGAACAGTAACAATGTTGTAATGTATGTATCAATGATAAGAGAGTTTTGTCTCGGATCAGTCTTTGGACTCCGGGACAGTAGGAACCTGGTTTTCCTTATTCCTATCGCTACTCTTTTTCTACATTACCAGTTAATCTGACTCACTCCTTATTTTGCTTACTAATTGTTTCAAAAGCAATTAAGTCCAAGGGCTTTCCTTACTAAATGAAACGACTATTTGATTGCTTTTAGTGGATACACAGTCTGTAACAGGGATTGGCAAACTAGTCCGCACACCCATCTGCTACTTACTGTCTATGGCTGTTTTCACACTACAGTGGCGGAGTTGGGAAGATGCAAGAGACCATATGGCCCTCAAAATGTTTATTATCTGCTCTTTTAAGAAGTTTGCTTACTGCTGGTCTATTCAAGAACTTAAAAATGGATATTTTATTCTATATATAACAAGTCAATTTTTCCGAGGGCCCTATTACCTCCCAATAAAATCAGCACCTAACCAATTCAGTACACGACAGACACGATGTCACATTACCCACGATCAAGCCAAGGGAGCCTGCCTGCACTCCGTCCTCCTCTGGCCACGTCCTTGACAACAGCCAAGAAAAACTAGAGGGGGAGAAACCCACTCAAAACAAGAGTCTCTACCTGGTTCCTCAAAGCCTTTGATAACTCCAAAGACGTTCAAAATTCTTGTCTCTTTCAGCACATTGTTCACGGTGAGCTTCACGTTTCTTCCTTGTAAGGACTGCATTTTACATGACGGGTCTGCTTTCCAAGTAGGAGGACAATCTTGTTCCATATTTTTAGGACTAGAAAACAGGGATCAGAGTTCTGAGTTATTGTTACCTCCCCCAGGTTTATAAAACCAGTCCTACTCTGCACAGTAAAGTTCTCTGCTGGGCAAGACAACCTATATAATTTATTCCCTAGTGGTCAACCATTTGTGTCTTATTCTGATCTATAGGCAGTCATTTAAAGACCAAGAGGTACTACCCAGTTTAACCAACGTTTTTTTAAAATTCTTTACCTATCTTCATCTGATGTATGCCTTTCTGCCGGAGACATAGCTATATAGTTTACACCTGAAATACATACCAAGATGGACTCTGAATGAAAATCTCATAGAAAAGTCTATTAATAGATTAGTGGTTGCTTAGGGCTGGGAGGGAGGATGGGGGAGTAGGGAATGACAGCTAAATGGTACAGGATCTCTTTTTAAGGTGATAAAAATGTTCTAAAATTGACTGTGGTGATGACTGCACATATTTGTGAATATACTAAAAAACCACTGAGTTGTATACTTTAAATGGGTGAATTATATAGTACACAGATTATCTCAGTAAAATTATTTTAAAAAAATTCTATTAATATATTCTCATGTTTCCTAACCCTCTCCACTAGCAGGAAGGGTAGTATACAATCTTATCTCAGTTATAAAAGAATACTCCCGTGCTACTCATAGTTAAGATATCTTCCCCTACCTAGTTCCTCATGTGTTATCCAAACACTGACTGTTCCAAAGGGACTTACTTACACATTAGAGTCTGAAACTAGGCCTTCTGATTCTCCATCCTACGCCAATACCAGGTGAGAAATAGATCCACATCAGGGTAAAAATTACTGACATACTCTAATCAGACGGGGTTCTATTTTTAAACAGGGATGCTAATACACTAGGGAGGATATCCAGAAGGACTAATCATGACTCTAAGTATCTGGAAACTGTTGAGAACTAAGGATATTCCGTCTACACACAAGGAAATGTGAATTGCTCTGTGATACGACAAAGAAAATCCAGGACGAATGGGCTACAGGGAATAAATTTCAGCTCAACACGAATTCTAACAGCTCTTCAATAACTGAGTTTCCATGGGCAACAGAGTGATTCCCCACAGAGGGTGCTGAAGCAGAAGCTACGGTAGGGACACTGCACAAGGAATTCACTGGGTAAATCAAGCAAGGACTCCTTGAGTTTAAAAATCCAGTGTCTATTACGATCACTCAATGGGGGGGAAATTTTCATTTTCACCTATGCCAAGGTAACAGTTAACTGTCCTTAAAATTTCCAGATGTGGAAAGTTATAGCCAACTGTTGTTAAGATTTTATCACATCAACTTAAACAGTTTATTATTCTTCCCTAATCATAAAACTTTACCTACAAGATAGCTTTCAAATAAGGACTTACTCAAACAGCTGTTCTGCAGCAGATCTGGAAATTGTTTGTACAGGTATGTTAGGCAATCCTGAAGACCGAGATGGTGGAAACTGAGTGTGATTGAAGGAGGGGAATCCAGGCGTATAAGGATCACCTGTACCCAGATGAGCCTATTAGAACAAAAGAGTAATTAGTTCTATAAGGCACTTATTCAAGAACTTCTCTGTGATATTCAGATTCACTATAAGGCTACAACCCAAGCTTAGTTTAGCACCCTATAAGTTTGAAAGTTTGAATGGCTCTACATGTGTCTTGTTTTTATATGTAATACGCCAAATTCTCAATACAAGACACTATCGATAAAGTACTTCTAGCAACAATAACTAGTTCGCGAAGTCGTCTAATCCATCCTCTTGCTAACTGTTAAAACTCTCCCAGAAAAGAAAAAAAAAAGTATTTAGAAAGGCCCCAAAAACTCATTCACTCAAGAAGTAAGAACTCACATGTCCAAAGACTGGAAGCTCTGCCTCGACAATGGGGAAGTCAGCATAGTCCATGTATATCAAGACACCAGTTGCATTGAAGTTTTCAGCATTTGCAACCTGAAGAAAAATATGTAAAGCTCAGAAAATGAAGATCTGATCGTAACAAAATGGAAAGAATACATACTGGACTTTATCCGACAGGGCAAACGGTTACCTGACATGGTAGAGGACTAGACTGGTATTGCCAAATGTTTCTAATAGCTTATATATTTAGGGGAGGGGGAAAAAAACTCCCTTGAAACTAACTCATTAAGGGAATTTGGAAGAAAAGAGACATAATGAAAACCCAAGCCAGGCTGTCTTCTGATGCTCCATTCTAGTCCCTTCTGCAGGTTCGGTTTTAAATTTTCTTTTTATAAAACAGTTACAATTTAATTCTCTATACACATAAAACTCAGTTACACAGACAAAATTTAAGCCGCTTTCACTTAAGCAGGTCTGATTATTTTCACAGAAAGACAATGGCTCAAAATAGGAATATGCCATGGTTTTGAAGTATCCTGTAACTTTAGATCATTGGAACTTATCTGAATTATTGAGCACTTTGATAAATTCTATCATCAGGTATGAGAGTTCAGAACTGCTGTTATTCAGAACTTAGGAAAATTAACAAATACCCTTTATGATACCAAGGTATTTAATAACTCACACTCACCTTTTCAGCAAAAGTGATTTTCCCTGCTCTAACAATCACTAAAGATCCATCCACTGGAGAGTTTAAATTGTTTAAACTCTCAAAGTCTGCTTTAGTGCCAAAATTAGCATGGACCAGTTTACCCTAGAACAAAGACATTAGATTTAATGAGCATTATGGTGTAATATCAATCACAGACTCTGAGACAGAAAGGTCTTTATAGATCAAACCTAAGAGAGCAAACCAAGAGAGGACAAAGCAGAGGCCGAGGCCAGAAACAATATAGGAGAGTTCTAAAGTCAATACTGGTCGGGGTCGTCAGGAATGAAATCAAGGTTTCTGGCCTCCTAAATTCATGTTTTTTATCATCCCATGCTGCCTTTAATCTAAAGGGTATTTTACAGACCTTTTTTTGGAAGAGAAAGGATAACAGGATGTGTTAAACACAGTGACATATACTGATATAAATATTGTAAACGAGCTACAGCAGCAACAATTACACAGTAGGCCCCCTGTATCCGAGGAAATACAACCAAGTGCTAAATAAAAAACTTCGGGGAGGGGAAGGGATGTTAAGCTGTTGCTGATGTGTGCTATGTAGTTAGGCCTACGATGGCTGCATCTGTACTGAAGCTGTACTATGTACAGACTTTTTTTTCTTGTCATTATTCCCTAAACAATACAGTATGACAACTATTTACATAGCATTTCCATTGTATTAGGTATTATAAGTAATCTAGAGATGATTTAAAGTATACGGGAGGATATGCGTAGGTTATATGCAAATACTACACCATTTAATGTAAGGGACTTGAGCATCCCCAGATACCAGCAGGGGGTCCTGGAACCAATCCCCCACAGATTCTGAGGGACAACTGTATATGGTTCCCACACCTGAACCCCAGACAGTTAAGTACATATACAAAAATATGTTTTAATGAAAAGCAGGATAATGTATCTGTACACAAATTGTTAAACACACCTATTACAATGAAATGACTTGCATAGACCAACTTTCACATGTTTATCATAGTGTTTCTAAACTCTAATACAGAGTTCAGATGAACGGCTACAAACTGACATTAACAACCAAGTATCTGAATATAGAAAGCTTGCAGGTAAACTAAAACCTTCAGTGTTTTATAACAGAACAATCTACCCACCTCCAAACCCCTGGTACGTAGCTAGAAGCCATACAGCGCAGCTAACCAGGAAGGCAGAGAATGATCATAAAACTTCACCTGGCTTGGTAGGCACCCACAAGCTGTACCCCTGACATATAAATACGTGGTGTTTAACCTGAAAATGATCTATTTCATCTAGTTGTTTCCTATTTCTATACTAGTTTGGCCATATTTACCTAAATTTAAAAAGATCAAGCATTAAAGAGTCAAGCTAAGACTAGACCACAGCCAAAGAGAGTTATTCGTACTTGTCGCCACATAAGGGGGAATCTGATATATGCATTCATTCAGCAAATACTACCATCTGTCAGACACTGTCCAAAGTCTGGGATGTGGGAGTGAATGAAACCAACTTCTACCCCTCCACGTAGCTCACATTCTAGCGTGGAGACAAGTGACGAGGTATCAGGTGCTAAGTGCTATGAGGAACCCTGATGGCGCGGTGGTTAAGAGCTCGGCTGCTAACCAAAAGGTCAGCAGTTCAAATCTACCAGCTGCTCCTTGGAAACCCTGTGGGGCAGTTCTACTCTGTCCTATAGGATCGCTATGAGTCGGAATCAACTCAACAGCAACTGGCTTGGTTTTCGGTTTATAGTGCTATGAGGAAAAATAAAGCAAGATAAGGGGAAAGTGATTAGAGGGACAATTTAGATACGGTAATCAGGGAAGATCTCCCAAATGAGGTAATGTCAGAGAAGAGACTTGGACCAAGTGAGAGAACAAGCCACGCTGGCATTCAGGAGAAGAGTGGCCCCAGACAGAGGAAAAGGAGAGTATAAAGGCCCTGGGGCAGGAACATGCTTGAGTTTAAGCGTTTGCAGAACGACAAGGAGGTGAGAGTGGTTAGAGCAGAATAAGGGAGGAGAGCCATAGGATTATTCAGGGCCTTGCAGACCAAGCAGAGCCCTGGTGGCACAGTGGTTAAAGAGCTTGGCTGCTAACTAAAAGGTCAGCAGTTCGAATACACCGGCCGCTCCTTGGAAACCCTATGGGGCAGTTCTACTCTGTCCTACAGAGTTTCTATGAGTCAGAATCGACTCGATGGCAACAGGTTTACTGCAGACCAAACTGAAGACTTTGGATGTTAACTGTGGTGGGAAGACACTGGAGGGGCGAAAACAAGCAACTCTCACGATCAGTCACATTTTACAAATAAAGTACAGCCCATAAATACAGTGTAATGGATTGAATTGTGTTCCCCCCAAAAATGTGTTATAAATCCTAACCTCTATGCCTGTGGTTATAATCCCATCTGGGAATGGGTTGTCTTTGTTATGTTAATGAGACAGGACTAGTATAAGGTATATCTTGAGTCAATCGCTTTCGAGATATAAAAGAGATTAAACAAGCGAGCAGAAGCAGAGATGGGCGAAGAGAGATTTGATGCCATATGAAGATCACCAAGGAGGAAAGGAACACCGGGCCTACAGATGCTAGAAAGAGACAAGGACCTTCCTTTAGCGCCAGGAGACAGAGAAAGCCTTCCCCTAGAGCTGCCGCCCTGAATTTGGCCTTCTAGCCTCCTAATTGTGAGAAAACACCTTGTGGTATTTCTGTTATGGCAGCACTAGATAACTAAGACACACAGTAAAGTCAATGAGTTTTTTCGTTATTCAACAGGTAAAATAAGTCACATGCATTGTTTTGCCTCACTTACGGTAACTGTTGCAGTTTTACTATATGCCACATAACCTTGAGGACGCTCCACCACAGATACAGTGGTCCCGTTCACAGGTACTATGCTCACTGAGTTTTGAGCACTGCTAAAAAAAAGAAGAAAAAAAGAAGTTAAAATGAAGCTAAGACCATCTTAGAAAAAAAATTAAATAGCTTTAATACATTTAGCATTTCACTTGCATTATTTGGCTTAAGAAAATGTAACTCATAATCTTGGCCCTGATTTTTACTTGGAAAGTCTTTGCTATATTTAGTACTACTTCTATAAAACAAGTTTAGCATCTTTCAACATACCTCCCTTTGACTTGAGTCTTAATATAATGTTCGTCACGCCAGACTTTACTGAGTTGAAATTCACGGAATTGATTTTCAATAAAAAATGCAAGGTTTTCATCTTTTTGAGATCCAGCCTCACGAGGGATATAGGGATTTTCACTCAGCCGCCTGGAGGAAGAAAGATCACTGTTAAATGAACTAAAGTTTAATTTAAAATAAACATTGAACTCAAGGATCGAGCACATTGTTTAAAGGCGTAACTCAGTGTTCTCTCTCAAGTTAAGATTAATTAACTTTGACCCAAAACTTCTGGCCTAGATAGAGACAAACGTGGAAGAAGATCTGAAGTATTTATGACTTCAGACTTGGTAAACCCTCTTTATCTACTTTAAAGCACTCTGAGAGTCCCATCCTGTAAGAGGACGTATAGTATTGGCTGCAATCAGGATACATTGTGCTGGTATCTCTGCTCAGGGTAGTTTGAGAGGAAGGGAGTAGCTTTCAGAAGAGTCAGTGAAAGCAAAATGGGAGACAGTAATATTGGTGAACTCCAGATGTACAGCTTCAATTTTCATCTATTCTGAAGCATTAGGAATCCTCTGGAAGCAGAAATGCTCCTTGCTCTGAGCTCCCCTGGTTCTCTGTAAATATACTCATCATATTAGTTATTTGATCAGTTTTTTTGTAGACTTTACTTAAACTTTATATCCACAATGCCTAGTGTATATTATATGCGAAGTATTCACTAATGAGTTACAAATGCCAAGACTTTTACTTTAAGACTAAAATAATTACAAGTACCATTGAAATTACAGGAAGCCAGCAAAAGGTAAAAGACGAATTTGTTCTTCATACACAGAATTAGATGTGTGTCTAAGGAAGATAATAGAAATCTAAGGACAGAAGCCGTAAGGACACTTTTTGAAGTATGGACTAATGGGTAAGAGCCAGTAGAAACCAAGGAACACCAGAGACATATCGAGTCAGTCAATTAGACACGAGCTAGAGGATGACCTTGTGGACCTCTCAGCACATTTCAAAGGATTAGGATGGAAAATCAGAGCAGGAAAAAGTCTGACAGCAAGCAGTAAGCTACAAAGAGTCAGATGGCAAAAAGATCAAGCACCTGTGATTTTTCTTTTTTTTTTTTAAGGAAAAAAAGAGTGTCTCAGAATAATGCTCTACTAACTTTTTCCCTACCAATGTAGTTTCAATGCTTTGCTGACCCTCTAGCTGAACACTGGAATTCCCCCCTACTCTAAAAGGTCTTTCTTTAAGATTGTCACCTTTGTTTGGTTTCACTGCATCTAATACTCTGTAAGTATTTGTTTAGATGTTGAGGGTAAACTTATAATGTTAAGCTTACTTGATGCTGCTGAAGTCCACGGTATTCAGTTTCTGTGAGAAAATATTTTTGAGGTCTCCCCAAAATAAGTGAGAAGGTGTTTCAGGGACTTCATCTGCCTCGGAAGTTTCTGTATCCTCTGTCTCTGTCGACATTGTTTCCTGTGGTCCCCTGCACCCAGCTTTTGCTTCTGCACGCTTACAATAGCCCAAGTAGCCAATCATAAATCCTAAAGATAAAAAGTTTCAGAGATGAACTCAGAGGATTTCATTTACAATCATCCCTATACGAATTATTAGTATTTTCAGCTAAGCCTTGAAAGTATGGGTTTTCATCAAATTCTAAACAGTCTGAAGACAAACAGTCCCTCTCGTTTTTGTATATTTCAAACCATTCAATCCAATAAATTATCTAGTAACATTATTTTAAATAGCTACCTGTTCAAAGCATAGGTACCCACTTTTTCCTCCTAGAAGCCTTCCTTGAACCCCTAGGCTGGGCTTCTATGCTACAAATATTCCGTGTATATTTCCCATATAACGTTTGTACGTTATACTGAAATATGTATGTCTCTTCTCCATCAGACTAAGCTAAATGGCAGGTAGAGAATCTGAGTTGTTACATCCTAGTGTCTAGAACAAAGGCACTCAAAAAGTACAAAATAAATATATGCTGACTGAATCCACAGACTTCCCAGGGTTAGTTACAAGGAACGCGTAAGTTTTGGATGGCCATTCTCACCCATCAAGAAGAAGATGATTACAGCAATAGCGGCGTAGCAGATACTGCTATTAAACCTCCTTGGTTTTGTGACACTGGCAGGGTGACTCCCCAGGTTGTTGTCGGCATTTTCTTCTTCATCCGCGGCTAGCTTCATCTCCACGTGACTGTTATCACCATCTACTTGCCGAGCCAGACTAAACCGGGTATACGACAATGATTCGCCACCGAACTGAGATTGAAAAAAAAAACAGAATGAAAGCATTAAGGAGGAGAAGACAGAAAGGGAATACAAACACTTATGAGAAGTTTGGTCAGGTGCTATACTCGTTACTGCATCATTACCACGGCTCGAAAGACATCCTTAAGGGAAAGGAAGGTCCCCTTTCAAACCCACATTCCTCCGTGTGCCCAGTTTTGTCAACAGCATGAGTGCTAGGTCACACACTGGGCTCCTTCATCTCATTTAGAGTTACTGTTATGTATGTCTACTACTATACGTTTTGATCAGTGCTTTCTTTAATTCACAGTACCTACTCAGCTATCCTCATCCACCATGTCCAAAATACCTGAAACTTCTTACAAGATTTCCATGATTAATCCTACTATAGACTGAGTATACGCTTCCTGTGCGGTTATCAGTTATGCCTCGGACTATGGGTTCAAATGTAACTGGATATCTGATGGTAACTCTGGGTATTATTTCATGCTTATATACTTCATTATTCTTGCAAACTGGTGACACACAGAAATACAATTTAAAAGATCTTACCAAGTTGGAGATTGCTGATCTGGCTTGATCCATCATTCTGCGCTGCCACACAGAGGAAGCTAGTATTAGAACAGAGAGTTTATATAAGGAGATACCGTTGTACCAGATTAGTGAGGGATTTTCGTTCCTCGGCTAGGTTAGTTACATCATCTTTTTAGAAGGGTCTTTAACGAAAGTATTTAGTTTACATAACGACTAAATTTTGTGTGATCCTTGACTGGATCCTGAATTGGTGGTAGGTAGGCATGGGAACAGCTATGAAGGACATATTGTGACAAATAAGAAATCTGAATATGGATTATGTAACCGCTAAGAGTATTTTATCAATGCTAGATTTTGGGGATGTGATAATGGTATTATGTATCTGGAGAGGAACATCCTCGTTCTTAGGACATGAATCCTGAAGAATTTAAGGACGAAGTATTGTGATGCCTGTAACTTACTTTCAAATAGTTCAGTGAATAGTATATAATAAATAAAGAAAATGTGGCAAAGTGTTAACCATTGGTGAATCGAGAGAAAGGGTACATGGATTAGTCATTGTACTATTATTTTGATTTTTCTGTAGGCTTAAAATTTTTCAAAATTAAAAATGTGGGGAAAACCAGTTAGAATATCATTCACTGTAAGTAGGTTTCAGTAATCAAATTCAGTAGTCAAAAAGGAACAAATGTTAAAAGACAATAAAGTATCACCTGGGGAGAAAACGGAAGTGGAATTAAGTCAAGACTGTTCATGCTACAAAGAGCAGTAACAAAGCATCTCCAGTACAGGAGAGAAACCCTAACCACTATGATTAAATTAACAGTTCCTACAAATGATTTGATAAGCTGTTCGATCCAAAAAGAATAGACACAAAGAAAACACGGATTATATTTTACAGATGAAGAGGCCAATCATCTGAGAGGTTAAGTGACTTGTTCAAGACCAAAAAGTGATAATCTAAAAATGAAGTTCAATAGGTTACTAAGTTATAGAAATTGTGTTCTATAAATTTAAGAAATGAATCTTAACTGTTTTCAAAGCAAAATACACCTTGGTAACCAAAAGAGAGTCCTATATTAAGTTAAAATATATATTAACTGAAATCTAATTTCCTAATTAATTTGATTTGAGTGTATCCAGATGCTTGAAAGCGGTGTTACGTTGAGATTTATTAAATGGACATTTTCTAGCCATTTTAAGTCTTTTCCTATAAAACAAGTACACTTATAGCACATTAAATATCCATATGGCACAAAGCAAGCTGTGAGGTATATGCAGACTGCAAAATATAAGACATTATATTAACTGGCATTAGAAAAAGTCCCTATCTAAAACCTATAAGCAAAAATAAATAAATAAATTGCCAGTTTTTAAAGACCAGGGTTAATAAGGAAACCCTAGTGGCATACTGGTTGAGAGTTCGGCTGCTGACCAAAAGGTCGGCAGTTCAAATTCACCAGGTGCTCCTTGGAAACCCTATGGGGCAGCTCTACTCTGTCCTCTAGGGTCGCAATTGGTCAGAATTGACTTGACGGGAACGGGTTTTCGTTTAGGGTTAATAATAGATCGTATTCTTAGAAACACAATCTCTTACCCCTTATGGTACAAAAACTTTATCACTGTCACTGCACCAGAACTGTACAGACCCAATCGCTACCGCCAGAGCTAGAAGGCCCCACCCGGAAACAACTTTAATCACCGTTTTCTGGGAAAATGTAGCAGACAAGTTTAACACATATCTCAACCAGCCATTCCTCAACTTTTATAGTTTAAAATTAACTTGAAGACTAAAGTGACAATACATTAAATAACTTAAATAAATGATTAGATGACTGAGTGACTTCGAGTCTGCAGAAACTGCTAGATAGAATATGTAATTATCACTTTGTGCAATTAAAATCCAAGTATTCTTACAGATATATTATTTCTATTCCAACCCCGGAGACACAAAATTACGACTACCACATAAAAGAAATCAAGTCAGAAGGAAACAATTGTTAGCCAGGCAACAATTCCCATTCTGATCTCATCACTTAACTCCACGTCTATGAAGACCACATCGGTTCTGTGATAGCCCCAAAAGTTAGTCCTCAAGTTTTCTATATAACAAACTTGAGTCATTCTTTCAAAATGGGCTCACGTATAGTAAACAAGCTGTCTATTTAAAAGAATCCCTTAATGAATTTTCTAGGAACTCAAATCACTCTAACTTAAGTGTTCTAAAGGCATAGGAGAGGACCTTGGTGGCGCAGTGGCTAAGAGCTTGGCTGCTAACCAAAAGGTTAGCAGTTCTAATTCACCAGCCGCTCCTTGGAAACTCTATGGGGCAGTTCTACTCTGTCCTATGGAGTTGCTGTGAGTCGGAATTGACTCGACAGCATTGGGCACGGGAAAAGCATAGGAACTTCTCACAGGAGTTGTAGTAAATAACACCATCCTGTCTATGAACAGGTAGTTCTGTTAAAGGATCACATCTAAATACCAAACAACACTTACTTGGCTTACTTCCAGATGTCACCACCAATGCTGATAATCTATCACAAGAGACACATGCACCAAATACCACCTTAATTTTTACTTATATTTGCTGTTGTTGTTGGGTGTCGTCAAGTCGGTTCCGACTCATAGCGACCCTATGTACAACAGAATGAAACACTGTGCCATCTTCACAACTGTTGCTGGGTTTGAGCCCACTGCTGCAGCCATTGTGTCAATCCATCTCGTCGAGGGTCTTCTTGTTTTTCGCTGACCTACTTTACCAAGCATGCTGTCCCTCTGCTGGGACTGGTTCCAACTGGTAACATGTCCAAAGGATGTGAGGGAGTAAAAATATCTTATATCTTAACATGCTTGATGCGCATGAGATTCCACAGGATATGAAAAAGAATACAATGAAAACCCCGGACCTAATCTTTTCCCATCCCAGCCACTATTTAGGTGTACCCTGAAATCAACTGGGCAAAGCTTGGGTAGTAAGATGACTTAAAGTTTTAAAGTTTACCAGGTAGGGCTTAGATCTCAAGCAATTGTTTGGAGATACCCATTGTGCAAACGATTTCCCCAGACAACTGTGCATTTGCCAGGTGGAAAAAGATCACATGGACCTACAAAACCCCTGCAGGGCTTCAGAACCCTTACATACTTGCACATACCTAGAATGACCTGACAAGGGATGCTCGGGGTCTTTCCTAGCTTTAAGCGTCCAATTGTATGGGCCTAAAATGAAAGGGCAGTGAAGAAAATCAAAGAAAAGAAGCAGGCTCTTCATTCCCATACAGTTTTCGGAAAAGATACTGTCCAACTTGTAAGTCAGGACCACTTAAGTCTCTGCAGCCTATTTGTGTTGTGCTCATCTGGGAAAACAAACAAAAGGCACACATACAGAGGAGTTCCACCAGGCCTCAGAAGATCATTTTTAACTAGCTTTCATTGTTGTCTGATTAGGTTAGCTGGGGACCTTGGGCCACTAAAGATAAAAACATTATCCAAAGCAAATAACTGCCACGCCTTAGGGCAGAGTTAGCCAACTGCACGCTTCTCTATCCAACAATCTGCAGCACAGGCTAGGTTCACAGGCGAGATTACTTGACCAGAACAATCCATCAAAGAAAAGTCAAAGGGTGCTACATATACCTGTTGTCGTCGAGTCGATTCCGACTCATAGCGACCCTATAGGACAGAGTAGAACTGCCCCATAGAGTTTCGAAGGTGCGCCTGGTGGACTCGAACTGCTGACCTTTTGGTTAGTAGCCCTAGCACTTGGCCACTATACCACCAGGGTTTCCATGCTATATATAGTTCTCTGAAAATATTTCACATCAGTAACAAAATTTTTTAAACTCTGGATTTTCTTGTGAAGTACAATGAGTTTATGATAATCCAAAACTGAACGGAAAAAACAAAAACAGCAAGAAAAAAAAAAAACAGTAACAACTGCAGGGTGGACGAGTACTTCGTGATGCAAACTGTTTATAAGTGCTTGACTACTAGCCAAAAGGTGGGCCATTTGAACCCACCGAGACAGGCCTGGTGATCAACTGCTGAAAGGTCACAGCCTTGAAAGCAGTTGTCTTCTGCACACATGGGGTCACCATGAGTCGGAATTGGCAACTAATTACAATAACCGAAATATTCGCAAAAGAAAACAACTTCTGGAAATTAATCAGCTAAAATGTCTTTATCAATGAGGTCAAGCATTGAATCAGCATCTAGTATTCCAAACTCATATCTAAACTTGGAATGAAGGCATCAGGTATCCAAACGCTTCTGTAACTTGACAACTATTTCCTCTTTCAATCCTCTTATGGAAAAAAAAAAAGGAATTAAATTTCCTGGACGAGTGACATGTCCAAGGTCACTACAAGCAGTAGGCAAGAGAGAACACGTTCACTAAAGAGTCAAATTACAAGATATTATTTTCTTACTCCCCTCCCCCCAACTATGCACCAAAACAGCGACACAACGGACCTCTAATGCATTTATCAATGGCCCGTTAGCCATATCCCTAATTTCCTAAAAGCGAAAGCCGATTCTAACCCAAATAGCTTTTCTTAGCCTCTAGACCATAGGTTTCACATAGTAGAAGTCTAGTTCATATCGTCTCCCGTCTTCCAGCGGGGGCTGTCTAGCTTTCTGAATATTCTTAACGTGAGCGCCTGCAGCGTTCGTCCCGCTTCTGCCTTGGGAAAACTGAGAGCCTGCACGTGAGGCCAAAAGGCAGAGCCTTGCAAGAAAGATCAGGTTTACAAGTTTCCCATTCTAAATGCCCGCTACACACACGGAACCAAATTGGGGACAGCTCTGTCCCTTTTAGCGGGGACACCTGGGCAGGCCCCGAGAAGCAGACGATTACGAGCTCAAGGTCACCCACGAACCCAGGCAGCTGTCCGCCGGTTGGCGCCTGGCCCAGCCACGTGCTCCAGGAAGAACAAGCACGACACGCGCGCTGCGGCAGCGTGGCCGCCCTGCGCGGGGCTGATGCCTCGCCCTCGAAACCGCATCCTAGAGCTGTCTCCCAAGAAGGCCTGCATTTTTTTCTGGGTGAGCTGAGGGAAAGTAACCCGCGGTGGCACGAAGCGGACGGAGAACAGCGCGGCGGAGAGCGACAGCGGGGTACTCCTTATGTCGCCCACAGAGCCCTAACCGAGAAGCACCCGCCGCTCTGCGAGCTGAGAGTGCACAAAAAGGAGGAGAGGGCAGGGCTGCCCTTCTTCCCAGGCCGGCTGCACCCCACCGCGCCTGTAGCCTGGCCGGCGCGCCGCCGCGACCCTTCCCTCCGCACATGGGTCCCGCTGCACGCCGCCCGGCCCACCCCGAGGCTCTGCAGCCTCCCTGCTCCCGCCAAAAGCACCGCGGAGGGCCGGCCTAGGGACGCTCGGGCTAGCCTGCAGACAGGGGAGGGAAGGAGGGTCGGCGGCGATCACTCACGCAAGCTCCACCGCAGACCAGGAAGCCACCGGCAGATTCAGACACCCTCTGAGGGGATGGACACCCCCAAACGGCAGTTTATAGTTTCGTCTCGCCCTCTTCGACCCCTCCCTTTCGGCTTTCGTCACTTCCGGTTCGCGTACACCTATGAGGCTCCAGAAGGCGCTTGGAGAGGGGGGTGCGCGCGCAGCCAGACGGGGTCCCTGAATTGAGCGCGCGCGGGGCGAGGAGGAATGTGAACGGCGAAAAATGGCGTTTAGCAGCAGGTGCTGTGGTGTCCGTCTCGGCGGCCTCCTCCGCGAATGCTGGCGGTACAGCGCTGACACGGGGAGCCTTGGCCCTAATCTTGACCGACCTCCAGTACCTGAAGTGCAAGGTCAAATGGTGTTAGCATTTACCCCTAGATATTGGATACTTACACGGAAATAATTCTGTAAAAATATATATAAATATATATTTTGCGGGCTCAGAAATACTTAGGATGAGCAAAAAGGAAATAAAAGCAGAGTGCAAATTTGTAATAACGATGTACGAAAACTTTCCAAGAGCCACGACTGGCACAGTGCTTTGCATAATGTTTTAATACTTAAAGGAATGGAAGGGAAAAGAGAAACAAGTGCTATATTAGGGTGTTAGGATTTCATGAACTTTCATGTTCATTGCCATTATCATTATGATAATTATAGGATTGTGCAATGTGTAATAAATAAAATTTCATTCTCATCAATTTTAAACTCTTTCTTAACGTTCACACCTTCTCCCTTCCTCTGGTCAGTAAACTATCGTCTAGTAAGGGAGAGAAAACAAGTCCACAAACAGCAACAAAGCGATAAAACGAGCAGGACCATAAAAGTAGGCTTTAGGCTCCCGGGACCGTCCTTGAAAATGCAAGTCCGATTCCGAGCCTGGGGTTCTGCTAGTCCCAATTTTCAGCTGTAAAACAGAAGTGCACAAAAAACTGCCCTTCCCCATGTAGCCTAAAATCTCTCTCCCCAAAGAGAAATATTTAAAAATCTTTCCTCAAACGCAGGAACGTCGCTGCACCTTAGTCAATCTACACACAGGAAAAGGTTAAGACGAGGAATGGGATGGATACTGATTAAGTTTTGGAAGGCGCAGCCTTGAAATTCAGACACCTAGGGCTGGTCCCTTCGCTGTTTTCCTTGATTGGTGGCGTAGAAAGAGAGAGAGGAAGGGAGGAAGGAAGGACGATAGTATTTCCAGGTGAAAATGTTACAACCTCATGGAGAAAATGGGCATAGGAAATGGAGGTCAGGGCAGAATTTATGAAAATCCAAATAAATGTTTATATTCACTAAAATGAAACAATAAAGATGACACTACTTAAAGATGATGCCAGTTAAATTTTTATTTTCATACTTTTATTAGTAATAATGGATACTGTGCAATTAAATTCCCTTTTACCATTCCTTTCTCATTAGAAGCTTTGCAGGATCTCTCTCCCCTGAAATTTCAAGTCGTTGAATATAGATTTATTTTGCTTTGCTGCACCTACTATACATACAAAGGTAATTTTTCCTGGCCTTGTACTCCATACAAACATTCAAAGGCTTTTTTCCTCTGATTTTTGTTGTTATTATTATAATACAGCATTAGCTCCCACTTTGGGAGACACAGTAACTTGAACGCTTGCAACGAAATAAGTTTTTGGTAACCTTTATTTAAACTGGAATCCCTGGGTGGTACAGAGGCTAATGAGCTTGGCTGCTAACCAAAAGGTTGAAGGTTTGAGTCTACTCAGAGATGCCTTGGAAGAAAGGCCTGGTGATCTACTTTTTGAAAACTCAGCCATTGAAAGCCCTGTGAAACACAGTTCTTCTCTGATACACATACGGTTGTCATGAGCACGAATGGATTCAATGGTAACTGGTTTTTTATTTAAACTATCCAGCACAACCAAATAGGTATTATTCAATTTCCTGCCTTCCACACACGTTTATATAAGACTTACCTTACACTATGGGGCAGTTCTACTCTGTCCTATAAGTCAGTTCTACTCTGTCCTAT